ATGTATCTCCTGATTCTCCTCTGCTGCTCGCCACCCTATGTCTTCTCGTCTCTTTCCTTGGAGTCCCGGTTTGACATTGTAAATCGGCAGCAGTGATTACGCGCATCCAGTATCGCATGCATTGTTCGTCATTCGCTTTGACGAGGTAGATTGCCCGTAGTAGTTGCAGTTGGTTTGAAGCTGAGGAGGAGGGGGAGGAGGAGGAGGAAGAGGAGGAGGAGGAGAAGGAAGAGGAGGACAGGAGGAACAGGAGGAGGAGGAGAAGGAAGAGGAGGACAGGAGGAAGAGGAGGAGGAGAAGGAAGAGGAGGACAGGAGGAAGAGGAGGACAGGAGGAAGAGGAGGAGAAGGAAGAGGAGGAAGAGGAGGAAGAGGAGGAAGAGGAGGAGGAGGAGGAGAAGGAGTAGTAGGAAGAGGAGTCCAGTAGAGCAGATGTGTGATGTCTCTCTTTTTTCTCTGCTTGACGTGGTAGATTGCCAGTTGTAGTTGGATTCGGTCAAGGAGGAGGAGAAGGACGAGGAGGAGGAGGAGAAGGAAGAGGAGGGAGAAGAGGAGGTGGAAGTGGTGTAGTGAGATGATCTGCGGACTGTAGCGGACAGACGTAGAGATGGAGCTCACCGACGAGGAGATCTTAACACCGCCGCCGAATGCTTTGTCAGATGGCGATTCGAAGCTGTCCCATTGCACGTCTCCATCGTCGAGAGTAAGACAAGCGACTTCCTTTCTTCTTCCTTCGCAATCTTCTTCTTCTTCTTCTTCTTCTTCTTCTTCTTCTTCTTCGTTGTCGACTTCTTCGAGTTTGTGTCTATGTCAAAGTCATACTCCTGCTCGTCCTCCGTCTTCATCCCCAGTTACTGCTGCTGGAGCCCCTGCAGGCGTCCGCCGGGCCCAGCTCTTCGCACTGGCTATGGTCGTCGTGATTGCCTTGCTGGGGTTGGGGTTGCGACAGCAGCAGCTGGGATTGGGACTAGGATTGGCACCTGAGATCCCGTCCCACGTCTTGTCGTCGTCTGCGGCTTCGAGGATAATCCACAGACGTTGGCTGATGACCCTCTTCGACGCAAGAACCGGCACGGACGTCGGACGGGATCTAAGGTACCACTGGGAGCGGGACTTCCCTACTCTTGTCCACAGGAGTGGAGGGCCAACCTCTCTTGTCATCGACAGCGGACGTGGGATGGGATCTCTGGTACCACTGGGACCGGGACTTGCCAAATATGTTCCAGTCGCTAGAGCAAGGAAACTGCAGAGCAATCAAGTCGTTAAGGAACCGGAGGAGGAGGAGGAGGAGGAGGAGGAGGAGGAGTATCCAGCCAATGATAGGATGTTGCGCACTGTTGGTGATGCAAAGAAAGGAGGAAGGAATAGAGAAAAAGATCGAGGAGGAGGAGGAGGAGGAGGAGAAAATGAAATAGGTAGAGGAGGAGGAAGAGGAAGAGGAGTAGGTATAGGAAGAGGACAAGAAAATGGAGTCGCAGGGGTAGTAACTCTAGTAGGGGTAAGAGGAGAGGGAGAAGGGCACGATGATTGGGAGCTCTTGATTCCGTTCCAATCGGACGACGGTAGAACGAAGCCTGAGTCCGCATACCGGTACGGTGAGAGGACGGAATACTCAGTGATGGGGAAAGGGAAAGCAGATGCAGATGCAGGTCTACCCATCCCGCTCTCAACTCGCAAGCTCGGTCCGATTTTACGTGAACCTGTCCGTCCCTTACGCCCTCGGGGGCGTGACCTTCCCATCCCGATCCCAACCCGCACTCTGACTACTCTGTCACCTGATCCTGTCCGTCTTCACGTACACCCACGTGACCGCCACCGTCATAGGGGATCTCCGGCCCAGGGTCTAGGTCTGTATCTAGAACTGCTTCGAAACCGGGATCCGGATCGAAGTGGGAAGGATAAAGGCATAGAAGAGGACCGCGATGATAATGACCATTCTCGACGCCATCCTCACGATGAAGATTATCCCGACTCAGATCATGTCGCCATAGCCACGAAGCTTGAGGGACAAAGCGCGTTCTTGTATATTTCTTCTGCCGAGGGTTTCGACGTCGATCGATGGCAGCATGGCTTCTCCTCTTCTGTCAGATCAGCATCAGCACCAGATACTTCACATGCAGTGCTGCGGTTTGTGCCATCCTATTCTTCGCTTGCGGTGCGTCCGTCCTCGTTCCTCTCTCTCTCTTCCCCAACGAAGTCGACAACGTCGAACAGGCACGATGATAATGATCGTTCTTCTCCACGTTCACCGATTCCGACTCGAGATTCGCTTGAGCTCCTCTTGTCTTCGCAGCCATCTCTGAGGAGGAGGCGGCGGCGGAGGAGTAGAACGATGACGAGTAGGCAGACGACGAACAGCGGCCGTCGGATGCTAACGGCGATGGCGAAGCCGCGGGGAGGGGAAAGTAGCCGGCTCGAGGGGAAAGCGGGTGAGGGCGATTTGCAGCGCCGGCCATGGCGTAGGGATCGAGATCCCTACTGCAGCCATCTTACGGCAGCTGAAGAACAGCCACCACGCACGATCACGACTTCTTTTCGCGGGACGACAACAGCATTGGCTTCGGCACCCCTCCGAGTTCTCACGACGTGGACGAGGTCCGGATCCCGGCGCCTGCTGAGCTCTCCCTCGTCACACGGACACCAGTTGTCGACCCATGCAGCAGCGCCACGTCCACGGAAGAAAGGGAAAAAGTTTCCCGTGGCGCTTCTGGTGTCTGTATTGCCAATCGCCATCATTCTTTGCATCTTTTCAGGTATCTGTAGACTCTTGATGCAAAGCTCGGAAGATCTAGCGGGTGAAGTTGGATTCGGTGAGGGAGGTGGTGCTGTAGGTAAAGCAGCAGGAGACGGAAGTGACGATACTGATGGGGGTAGAAAGGAAGGTGAAGGTGGAGGTGGAGGTGGAGGTGGAGAGAGAGCGGGCGGGGAGAGCGAGAAGGAAACCAAGACCTGAGGCAATGTCAAGGGTGGGAGATATCAATCGAGAAAGAGAAAAGGGCCACAAATAGCACTGGACATGCGTCGAGTGGAAGGTCACTGTTGATAGAGGAGGTTCGTGTGGTCACTTAGTGTGGGGTGGCTGTTAATGACGATCATGGTGTATACTCTGTGTAGATAGCGAGAAGGAGTTGGTCAAAATAATGTGAAGATAGTCTGATCGCAGACTAGTTGACTGCTGTGAGCAGGACGGCGTAGGTGGACAGCGCGTTGGTTAATCGAGGGTCTGTAGAGCATGCAGTCGCCAGTTACATTAATGCTGCGGAACGACGGTGTACGTCCAGGTGGAGGGTTGGGCACTTATCCGGAGGAGCAGTACCACACTCACATCTATCGGGAAACGAGTCGAGGTGCGTGAGAAGGACGTGGGAACGCCGGTATGACGTTCATCTCTCAGATGCATGCATGCATGCATGCGTGGACGTGCGGCATGCATGGATGCATGGAAATGCGTCAAGGTACGTGCGCAGGACGTGAAAACGTTCGTAATATGCAGTTCACGTCTGGGATGCATGCATGCACGTGCGGCATGCGGGCCTGCTTGCACGTGGGAGCGAAATGCATGCATGCATGTAAGTGTAACGGGTAAACGAAGTGGACAGGGATGTGAGCGTGCATGAGTATCGTGAGGGTGGAGAGGTGTGGAGGCCGGAATGAAAGCCCATGGTTTGCCTTATCGCCAGAAATGTTCGAAGCATAGACACAAGTGGGAGCGATAACGATAACGTGGATAGGGAGATCAAGATAGCGATTCGCGTGGAGAAGAAGAACCCTCGGCTGAGTGTCGCATGTAGGCATGCATGCAGTGCAGTCTGTGGATACACGTTCGCGGGGATTTTCCCTTATGTATTCTCACGCGGGAAATCGATTGCCACGTGTCTCAACGTGGGAAATGGCTTCTCGCGTGTTCTAACCGGTTGCCACGTGTTGGAATGCAGGGGTTGCCGGCATTTTCAATTGCTTGACGTCGTTTTTTCAAAATTAGAAACGTTCTTCCGCTGAGCGTTGCATGCAAGCATACATGCAATGCTGCGCAGGGATACGTGGTTGAGCTGCTTATCTTTTATGTGTTTTCGCGTGGGAAATGGATTGCCGCTTCGTTGACTTCTTTGATATCCGTTTTGTACGTAGAAATGTCCTTCGGATGAGCGTTGCATGCAGTGCCGTGCATGGATACGTGGTTGCGCCGAATCTTTATCTTTTATGTGTTCTCACGTGGGAAAAGGATTGCCACGTGTTTCCACATGGGAAACGGATTCGCGCGTGTTCTAACGGGTGGCCACGTGCTCCCATGCAGGCGTTGCGGGGGCATGCACTTGTTCGACGTCCGTTTTACCAGCTCGGCAGGAAAGGAGATCGACGGCCCAGGATCGAAGTGGAAAGATCTGCCGCACTCGAAATGGATCGAATGATGTAATTCACAGAACCGCAAGATATAATAAATGGATGAGCCTTGCCGAGCAGGGGAGAACAGATAGAGGTGGTAGGACGGAATAAACGGAACCGACGGCCCAGGTTGGAATTCGTTGGGCAGAAAAAGGCTGTACTTTGCTCCAGACATGGAAATACGCGAGCATTATCCAGGATAGATGAAAAATAAAATTCAATCCTTTTATATTGCCTTCAATGCCTTGGTCGACATTGCTCGACAAATTCTCGTTTTTCCTTCTTTTAATTTCCACATGATTATTTTCAGTTGATTGGGTTCCGGTACGTCCTTATGGGGAAGTTATGGCTTCACTTTTTCCTCCTCCTCTTGCTTGAACACTCTGTCCCACCCCAATAGCAGGCCTCTCTCTCTCTGTCTTTCTCTCTCTCTCTCTCTCTCTCTCTCTCTCTCTCTCTCTCTCTCTCTCTCTCTCTCTCTCTCTCTCTCTCTCTC